ATATATATATATATATATATATATATATATATATATAATATATATATATATATTAAAGGAAAAGGATTGATTAAGGAAAAGCTCAAAAACATGATAAGAGGGATTTGGATATTCGGCAAGGAGAAGGAAAAAAAGCAAGACACAAGAGAAAATAGAGCAAGAAAGAGAAGAAGGGAAAAAATTCTAGAAACACTATGAGTTTGTAAGGGAGAATCCATAGCTTTCCTTATCAGAAATCCAAAATTGATGGACTTTACCTTATAAACTTCTATTGTGTATTAATAGGAGAAGAGGAAATTACTGAAGATAACAAAAAAGAGGAGAAACCTATCTTTGAGACTACTGAAAAATTTAACAGTCTTGCTCTGGAAGTAGATGATGTCGAACCAGATTCAGAAACTGAACTTATGAAGAGTATGGGGTTACCCGTACAGTTTGGCAGTTTGGCAGCCGATAAAACAAAAGCGGTAAACCCCAGTTTAATTTAGTTCAAGTTATTGAATTAGAAAATAAATTAAGAAGTATGCAGTAGAATTGTATTGCATATAAAGAGAATAGTGATTTTTTGTGCTTTTTACTTTTGTGTTTTACTGTTCTTTATTTTTATTTCATAGATTTTTTTCCTCCAGCCTTTATTACTGTATAAGTAGTTCAGGGCAATGAATATATATGATACTTTTTCTTCCTCCTGTTTTCCCCAACCTGGCACGGTTGGTTGCTGTGAGAGATGGACCAAAGTTGCACAGCTGGTTTTCATGACCAAGGTGGGATTAGAATTCAGAGTCTTCTGCCATTTTATTTTGTATGATTGAAGGTGAAAGAAGTCTCAGTGCAAATGTATCTAAAGGATTTCAAATAACAATAAAGTATGCTTATGAGTAATTGAAACAATAAACTGGAAATCCTGAAGCTCATCATTTGAAGATGCAGGTCATTTTTGCCTCAATTATATTGCTTCGGTGCATGAATCTTTGAAGATTTTTTTTCCTTTATTGATAAACTAGCCATCCTGTGGCTTCAAAAAGAAACCCTGTAGCTTTATTTTTGAAGCTATTGCTCTTCTAATAATTCTGAAGAAGCATTCAGAATCTCCACCAGTGTTCGTTTTAATGCCTGATATTTTCACTGGTATAATAATCTCAGTCCATCAGAAAGTACCAAATTGGAAAATATTGGCACACAAAATAAGTTTAGGATATTAAACCTGAACTTGGAATTCAAAATTATCTGCTTGCTTTCATATTACATTTTAGGCCTCTGAGAAGATTGGCAAGATAGTTAACAAAATGACAAAGAAGAAGAAAAAGAAGAAAAAAATGCTACAAGAAGATATCCATGAAACCATGTGGCAGTCCATGGAAGAAGGTGATGATGACCATTCTCTTTCTGATGATGAAATCTTAGTGGAAAAGGAAGACAACTATGCTGAATTCTGTCAAAATGGAAGCATGCCACTGAATGAACTGTATATAAATGAGGAATGGGAGCAATACTGGCATCAGTTTGGAGAAGAACTACTGTGGAAAAGCTGGGAAAAGAAACAGGAGGGGGCTAATCCTGAACCTTGGAACAATCCTGAAATGAAAGATAAGTGGGAGCAACACTATAATGAGCTCTACTGGTATTACTGGGAACAGTTTCGCTACTGGGCAAGTCAAGGTTGGACTGTTGATGCTACACATGGTAGTGAACTAAAAGTGAATACTGGAAAACTGAATAGTAAGCAGTCAGAAAAATCATTAAACCCAGACAGCCATGGAGAAGTGCAGAACTCAGCCTTTTATACTCATACTCCTTCCATAGACATTTGCAAAGAAAATCCTCTTGTATATAATGATCCAAGTAATGATTATATTTTTTCTAAAATCAGTGAAATAAGTCTAAATTCAGAAGAAGCAGAACACAGTAAATTGCAAAGTGCAGCTGATACTAAAGAACATAAAGAACCAACTCTAGCAAGCATTTCAAGGCATAGTCCTTACAATTGTGGCCAGACTGAGAAATCAGATAAGGAAACAAGAGAAGGAAGTGTGTCTTCTAAAAATGGATGCTCAGATCAGCCAGGTTGGTATTCCAGTCTTCATCTGGTATTTTTGTGACTGTTGGAAATAGGTTTTTAAACCACTTGATCCAGGCACCTTAGCAGCATCAAAAATTCCTGAATGGCAGTCAGCACTGAAATTTATTTGGATGATTCTGTTTCTACCATATTGCTCATACAAATATTAGCTATTCGGTTCATTGGAGTATCTCATATTAGCAAATCAGTAGTTGGATTTTAAAATATATAAAGTATATGTTTTTAAAATTGAGATTTCTTTAGCAATTTTAAAAGAGCATTTTGGTGCATTTCTTGGCTTGGATCTCATACTTGAGGCCTCTAGATTGTCTCCACTTAAAGGGAGGCTTAATTAGTTTTCAGAGGTTACATTATCTACTAACCAGCACAGTACACAACACTACACAACCAGTTGCATTGTTTTTAAAGTTTTATGGACAACCTAGAACAATGGTTCTCAACCTCAACAACTTAAAAGGTGTAAACTTCAACTCCCAGAGCTGAATGGAGTATTTTGGACATAGACGTCCACACATCCTTAAGCCTCTGGTATTAAACACTGTCCTAGAAAATGCTTGAAAAGGATGGCTTTAGGCTTCTTCTACCATATTAGGAAGTTAACATGTACTGAAGAAAAAAATATGTTTAAGCATAGAGCAGAGCTAAAGATACTATTCTTTTTCATGATATAATAGTGCTTACCAAGATTTACAAATGTGTTTGCTTTTTTAATTATAAACCAGTTCTTTTATATAATAGAAGGATTGGTCAATATTGCTTGGCATGGTCAAGTAACGCGATCATAAAATCTGAAATATAATAAAATAAAATCTTAAATATATTTTACATATTTTGAGTTTTTTTTCCTTTTTCTGATTTTATTTTTTAAATGTTTTAATTTCTATAATAAAGCAACCAAATTTAGGAAAAAGGGTTTCTAGTACAAAGTATTTGAATATTCCTAAATCAGATACTTATAATGCATAACTGTGACACCATTGTCTTTCAGAAATTGTTGTAAATAAATCAATAAATTAATTTACTTAGAGAAAAGGAAACACAATGATTTCTTTATCAAAGTGTTTAATTTTAAATATATCATTCTGTTATGATTTTTTCTTTTTTCTGTACTAGGTTTACAGCAAGAACTTTTGGATACCACAGCAAAGGGAACACCTGACAGTAATGATGGTGATGAGGAGCCACCTGAGCATAAACCTGTGAAACTAAAGAGAAGGCAGGTTATCCATTATGTCAACAGATTGTTCTCATGCTATTTAGTTTGGGGAAGGGGAGTATACTTGATAGTTGTGCTGGAGGGCTGCAGCATGAGGTTTCATTATGCATTCTTGTTTTTGGTTGTATTGAGCTCTTTTTTTCCTGTTAACATGTACGTCTATTTTAATCTCACACTACTTTTTTTGTGAGGCCCATTTTATAGTAGTTAAGGCATCAGGCTAGAAATTAGGAGACAATGTGTATGCATGTATGTGTATATACATATATATATACACTGCTCTGTCAGCGCGCATGCGCGTGCTGGCCAGCTGAGTTCATGCCTTTTTAAAGCCATTTTTCGCCCTCCCCAGGCTCCAGAGGCTTTACAGGAGCATGGGGAGGGTGAAAAGAGCCTCCCCTGTCCACCCCATCCTGGAGGCCCTCCGGAAGCTTCATGAGCTTCCCTGAAGCCTCCGAAACGCAAAAAAACGGCCCTCCAGACAAACCGGAAGTTTGGAAATGGACTTCTGGTTTCCTCGGAAAGTCCTTTTGACTGCTCCGAAAGCTTCCGGGAAGCCTCCAGAGGGCTTCCAGGGGGGGGGGTGAGATTGTTTTCACCCTCCCCAGGCTCCTATAAAGCCTCTGGAGCCTGGGGAGAGCGAAAAAAGCATGCAAAAAATGGTGGGGAACGCCTGTAGTGTGCGCATTGCATTATGGGTGCGGCACGCATGCACACGACCCCCTGCGCTCCCCCCACTTATGGTACGAAAGCCAAAAAAGGTTCACCATCGCTGGCATAGGCAGTTAGCAAGACATCCCAAATAAAGGAGTGGTTCTGCAGGTGATGACCACAGATCACTTCTCAGTTCCTATGCTTTCTGGCTGATGGTTTGGTCACTTTTGAATGCTGGCGGTGCTTTCACTCTAGTGGTAGCATTAGACGAAGTCTACAACCCACACAAGTGGCTCAGGTAGTGCAGCTCCTCCAGGATGGCACATCAAGGAGAGCTGTGGCAAGAGGATTTGCTGTGTCTGTCAGCGTAGTGTCCAGAGCATGGAGGCACTACCAGGAGACAGGCCAGTACATCAGGAGACGTGGAGGAAGCCGTAGGAGGGCAACAACCCAGTATCAGGACCGCTACCTCTGCCTTTGTGCAAGGAGGGACAAGAGGAGCACTGTCAGAGCCCTGCAAAATGACCTCCAGTGGGCCACAAATGTGCATGTGGCTGCTCAAATGG